TTGTGTATGTTTGTATCTGATATGGAAACCTATAAGTGAGATTCCAAGTGTGCTTTGTTGTGGAAGGTAATAAGTAGGTTAAAATGACTTCTTCAGCCTCAGTCTGTGAATGGTAGAACAGAAAAGCTCTGTCTTTAATTCAGCGCATGTAGCATTCAAAAGAAATCAGGGTGAATCTTAGTAGTGAATGGCTTAGGAGTGTTGCACTGTTAAAAACAAAGAGTCCCTAAAGGATTTTAGATGGAGTTCTGGGCTTTAGTTGCAACCATTCAAACGAATCACTTTAACTTTGGATCACTGGAAATATTAAAGGGCTCAAGTGAACACCAAAAAGTGTTCCTGTATGTGGACCTCTACTTGGACTTTCTCATTTCAGTACCATACACCCACAGCAATACTCTGAGTGACAGGCATTCATAAACATAATAAAACACGTATCATCTTTAGAGCCACATTCCCTGTAACGTGTTCTTTCCTGAGTGAAGCCACTGCTTGATGAGATTTGTTGATATCGACTCATATGTCAGACTTCCTCAGCTTCTCATCAACTCTTTTAGTGCGATCAATTTAAAGACCACTTCTGCTGGAGTGCAGTAAACCATTTTCCCATTTACAAAAATTCACAAATTCTGTTTGTGGAACAGATGATTAAGGCATTTTCCACATCTGCAGATGTATTCTAGTTGCAATGCTCAACACTATTTTATCTGCATTAAAATACATATCTGTTCAAATGTCAGAGACCACTTTTCATGTATTTAATATCCAGTCAAAATGACTATTAAGTACAAGTTACTAATTTTTCAACATCAGGAAAAAGCAGAAAAGTACATAGAAACCTCAATAACTAAATATAATATCAAGTTTTTAAGTATTTAATGTGTCCATGCATTCAATTCTTTTCAGGAGACTTGCTTTCAGTTTTTCAAATAGATCAGCAGGGATACTTTTTGATACCTCTGAAGTTAAGTCTTAGAGGTTGGTTGTGTATTCTGCTCTGGCGTGGTCAGTCCATTGTTTTGAGAACAACAGCAGCTGCTTTGTTTGATTTGCAAATTCTTGTCTTTTTTGTCTGTTTTCTTTTCTCAGTAACAGCTTTTTGACATCTACACATCACTTCAGAATCATAGTGTTCAGTTGTTTTCTCACAGTGGAAGGATGGACAGAAACACCTGTGGATTTTTTTCAGATCTGAAGAAAGAGTGGAGTTTTATTTTCTCCTCTCTCTCAAAGATAAAGATATAAGAATTGTTTATCTGATGGTGACAGTTTTGGTGATCTACCAGGTGTTGTGCGGTTGTCCTATTTTTTCTTTATCTTAAAAAAAAAGAGGGCTGGTTTTGAAAACTTCTGTTTAACTTACTTTTATTTGACTTTCCCCTTACTCATGCTGATAGATGTCCTCAGAAATATCTTCTAAAAATGAATGAACTTGCACTTAATAGTCACTTTGACTGAAAATTAAATAAATGAAGGATGGTCTCTGACTTTTGCACAGAAGTGTAATTCAGTTTTTTTAAGTTGTTGTTGCTGGCTACTTCTTTGGAGCACAATTTTTTTGATGGTTGCCTTTTGGTCTTAATGTAAACAAAATGAGTTATTACAGTAATCAAAATGATCATATGCGTATGTGCCCTCATGTTTACTGTGTATGGTAACACAGTCAGTAGATTAGTGGCTGCTGCATGCTAAGTGCTTTTGCAGAAGTGTCACATTTTGTTGCAGTTTGGGCAATACACCCAGACAGAGATGCAGACACTCACACATGAACTAATTTTAACCTCATCTAAATTAAAATGTAGACATTTTTCCAACATTTATGGAGTATTTTCAGAATTTATGGAGTAATGCAATGTGATTCTTTTGATTCCTGAAATATTTTGTTTATAGTAAGACCAACTGTTTCAGGGAAATTGCCAGCAATTACTGTAAAAGCCTTTTTCTAGCCTGATAAAGTCACATTATTGTAATACTTCTGTAAAATCTGTGGTGCTTGCAGACATTATGTGTGTATCTGTGTTTGGGTCACTGCCCTATTGGCCAACATTGCTGTTTGCCTCATAATCAGAACTCTCTCACAGATTTTATTTATATTTCCTGGTCAGTTTTCCCATCATTATTTGGTTTGCTTACCATATCCCAACTCTCTGCTAGTGTGACTGTGAGGCAAACAGGAGACGAAGAAGTTACAGGAGAGAGAGCATATAATTCCACTGCTCTGTCTATTGGATATGGAGGATGATGCGCATTTGGATTAGGGTTCCGTTGCAGGATTCCATGCAGAATTGTGCTCCTGATCGAGTTTCACAGTCCTGGCTAAAGAATGGCACAGCATCTGCTGGTTTGTTTATGAGATCTAGGTCATGTTTGTTTTCCCTTAAAGTGCTACCTCGTCCAGACACAGTTAGCCGCAGCTTCCAGTTCTATTGAGCCTCAAGGTTTGATCAAATCAGATAAACCAGATAAAAAGACAGGTTTTCAGGAAAACCCTGAGGCTTATTGGAATGAGGTTAAGGGTATAAAGAGCTGCAGTAAATTGTATCTGAAAAGCATCTGCTGCCAATGATGCTCTGAAGTTATGGGCCAGATCGTTTTTATTGAAGCAGAAAAGGACATGAAATATTTGTTGCATGGTGTCCCTTTAAATAACTGCAAGGTGTCTTTTTGAGTAAATGGAACTGACATTTCCAGTAGCACAGTCCAAGGTGTTGCTGGAAATTTGCCTTTGATGCTGATGTTGCTTGTGTAGCTCCATTTGCCCATTTGGGTTAGGAGCTGCTGATCCTAGATAAGCTCAAGAGGATACCTTTATTCCTAGTACTGTTTCACTGTCAGACCATCCAGCTGTCTTGTCTCCTTCGAATCTTCTGGTTCTTGTTTTCGTTGAGCAAAGGTCATACCCTGAAGGGAAGAGTCAGCAGGAAAAGACTTTAATGGACAGCAGTGTGAGCCAATCGATGGGCTACATTCTCCACATTTTGGAAAGAAACTGTCAAGGTCATAAACTCTTTTAGGAGAGGTGTCTTATACAGCTGGGAAAAGCCTGCCATATGCAGCAACAAAGACCAAGTCAATGGAAAAATTTATTCTGTTCGTTTTGTTTTCTGTCTTGGTATCCGTTTTTAGTGCTCGTCTACAGGGCAATACGTCATAACGATGAATTAAGGTTTTTGAGGAGGTTAACTGAGGAGAAGACTTTTTTGATTCTCCTTTTCACTATTTTTTGCACTGGTCAAACTTAAGGCCATTACACACTGAATGTGATACCAAAAAACAACACAGAAATGCAAAATATTTAGATGCAATTTTTCATATGAAAACTGTATGCATTGGACACAGTGTGATTTTTTTGGAATTTGACCGCTTTGTTTGCGCCAAAAAAAACAACCAAAAAAAAACAAATGGGCAGAATATTTTCAAGTGCCAAAAGACATCCTTTGCTCCTCGCAAAATAAGCAAACTGTGAAATTAGGTTGGCTACTTTCCATTTTGGAAAAGCAAAACCAGAACAGAGAGTTTCACTGCTGAAAATGTAGCAGCTGGAACTTTATGAGAAATTTTACATGTACTTTAATTTTACTTATACTGAACATGTGTAACTCAGTTTAAGCTCCATTTGAGGTGCTTTTGGAGATATTAACACCACCCTTCTGAAAAAGCTGAAGACCAACTAATCATTTTACATTTGTAAAAACATTCGGTGATGCTTCATTTTGATGGTCCCCTTTAGATGATTTACAGATCTTCTGGTGATATTCAGTTGATTATCAACACCATTATGGTGAGGGTTAGATACTGGAGTATGTGTAGATTTTGTGTTGAGGTTTGGAATAGTGATAGGTTTAGGGTTGGGTTTAGATTTAAGAGAATCTTTTATACTCAACTTAAAGTTACATTTAATAGATAGTTTGTTGAATGTTAGTTAAAGTCAGACTACGCATCTACAAATCATCTACAGTGAACCATCAAATTAAAGTGTTCCCCAAAAGTTCTAGTTGTTAGGACACAGTTGATCTGTCATCTTGGTTGTCGCCAAGCCAACGGAAGAGACAGCAGTGATTGGTCAAATGAGTTTATGTCACCTATGGAAGTCCACAAAAACAGGGCAAATAAAATAATGTCTATAATGGCATCTAAAAAATTGTGTTTGGTGTGCAAAATATCATCAGTTATGAACGTTTTCTAATTAATTATTGATGTCTGAATAAATCACACCAATATATCATGCTCAGTGTGCAAAGGCCTTTAGAATCAGAGCCTGCATTCCATTTTAACTACAAGGCAAAGCATGACAGTAGTAAGACAGAAGTGATAAAAGCTTAATGCATTTGGCGTGATCTCTACAAGCAGGCAATGCAAACACAGGATACACATGAAAGAAGAGGTGAGCAAAACAGAGAAGATGAGTAAGGGAAAGAAGGAGAGTACTGAGTGAGTCAGTTAGTGAAAAAGAAGGGGAGAGACAGAGGAGACTCTTCATTGCAGTATGCTAATGAAGTGCTGACATCAGAAGTGAGTGGGAAAGAAGAGGAGAATTTCAGCAGCTCCAGTGGGAATCATCACCTGCTTTAATAAGGTCCAGACAGGTGTGTATCCCTCATCCAGGTGCACAGCAGAGAGAGATAGAGAGAGAGAGAGAGAAAGACAGAGAGAGAGGGAAAGGGAGGGTAAAGAAAAGGAGGAGTGAATGCGGGAGGTTGAAGGCAAGGCGATTAACTGGACAGAGAAAGTGTTGAACAGAAGGTAGAGAGAAGTTTTTGGAACTGGGGATTGAAGAATTAGAGGCACTTTCTTGGACATTTCTTTTTAAAGGATAGTACTGTAGAAGAAAAGAAGAAGAGATGAAGAATTGGTAGAGAAATTGAGGAGCTCTGTTCTTCTCTTTCCAGGGGGGTGCATTTTTTTTGTTTTTAAAAGTCATTCTGGACTCTCTCTCTCTCCCTCTCCCCTCCCTCTCTCCTTCTCCCTCTCTCTCCCTCCCTCTCCCTGCGCTGGAGCGTAACAGGAGCCACACGATGAGTTGTGGATGAGAGGAGGCAGTTAGAAAGAGAGAGAGAAGGCAACACAGCTACACATGCATGCATGTACACACACATTGGAGCTTGGAGTGACCATGCAGCGTACAAGGTGAGGGTCTACTCTTACAGCTTCATATGTCTGTGCATGGATCTGCTTTGGGGAAGATTAAAGGCATGTGTGCATCATTGGCAGCTGTTTAAAAAAATCTGTTTAACATGTAATCTGTATGAATAAACAGTCTTCTTGGATTATTGAGAGAATATTTCTTTTTTTCTGGTTTATGTTTGTGTCTGTTCGTGTGGAGGCTTTACTGCTCATCCTCTGGAAGAAAGTGTGTCTTTAACGCTCTGTCATTAGCCATCACAGAGCTCATCATAAACAACGTGTGTGTTCTGTTGCACACTTATAGTATTTGACGCTACATGTGCGTCTGTTTATTTAGAGTTTGCCTGGCAATGGAAAAAGCCATTCAAGGAGACAGCAAGATCATTTCTTTTCCTTGGGTACATTTTTATGGCTGGGAAATGAGACCAGCTTAAAAGTTTGATTGCAAGATTTCTGCTGTTACAGCAAAAGTGCATCATAGTAAGGAATGGAAAGTTTGAGTGTGTGTGATTTTTATGCCTTAGTTGTGTTAGCGTGGCATCTGTTTGCAAGTGAATTAGTCGATCAATAGGAGCAATAAATGTGAATTATAGTATTGACATTTATACATCTTGTGTCCTAGTTGAGAGTGCAGATATTTGGGAGAGAGATGCGAATGTGACTATCAGTTTGGGAACCTGAGAGAGTGAAGTTTAGAAGGAGGTGATGCTATCGTTGGTGATTGTTATAGAGCCAAAGTCTCCCTTTAAATCCCATATACGCTGCTGTACAGAAGACTTGTATTTATTCAAACGTTAGTGTTTTTCAGAACAAATAAATGTTTTGTGTTCAGATAAATAGCTTTAAATATCGGATTCTCAGGTGAGCCAAGACTTCTGCACAGTACTATAGTTAAATGCAGTTCACCTGTAGTTGTACAGTGCAGAGTTTGTCAGGCTGTCTGTAAATGACTCAGTCAGAGTAACATTTTTTCTCGCAGATTTCTGCTCTCAGATAAGCAATAAGGGAACCTCTCAGGTAAGTCCTGCAGGGAGGTCACTCTGAGAGGTCGGACCAGGTGCTGGAATTTTAGATATTTGTCACTGCCCCCCTCCCTTCTTTCTCTCTCTCTGTCTCTCTCTCTGTGTGTCTCTCTCTCTCTCCCTCTGTCTTTCTCTCTTCCCCCCCACCCCTCCCGCTCCCCTCCCTCCTCCCATTTTCTCCCCTGTGGCACTTTCCACAGGAGCGTGCTCTGTCCTGTCACTGTGTGTGTGCATACACACCAGGACGCTGAGCGTGTCTGTTTGAGTTTGGAAAATAAACTCTTGGCAGTGTCAAACCATGGTAATTCCTTTTTTTTCACAGGCAAATAAGTCAGGATGCTTTCCTGGGCAGGTCTACTGTGTACCAGCGCTAGTAGATTTTTACCCAGAGGGTTCATGCTGTTTTCTGTGAATCTGTGTGTGTCCAGCCTGACTGTACTGTAAGTTTACATGATGAAAAGACGGGAGTTTGTGAAAACACAAGTAGCACAGCACATATGGACTGCTTTTGCCTGTACAGGTCTATAGGTAGGATGGAGACATTGTGTGCAGTGAACTGTTTTCCAAGCAGTGCATAAGTTAAGCATTGGCATGTGGAGTATGAGATGGTATTTATACTACACTGGAGCTGTCGACTAATATAGCAGATGAAGAAGGTGGTGTTCTTTTAAGTTTCTTTGAAATGGTACTTCATATGCCGACTTCAGCAAAATTATACAAATACTTTTTGAAAAAATACAGTTTTGAAGAAATGAGTATTCAAAACAGTATACCAGAATTTTAAATGATCATTTATCAGGATTATTATAGTTTTGAAATTTCATTTATTATTTTTTTATTTTTTTTATTTATTTATTTTTTTAGTTTTTCATTTTTGGTTTTTGATTTCAGTTTAGTTTCAGTTAGTCTTAGGGGTTCATTGAAAGTAATAGTTTATTTAGTTTTAATTTTAGTTCTAGTTTTAGTGTTACGATAAATGCTGTGATGGTAGGTATTTGATATGAGTGGAATAAAATTAACACAGTAGACTCGGCTCCAGCTTTACTGAAAGACAGCCAAACACAGAAGAGTTCCACTTCTAAACCCTCATTGATGCACTGAAAAATACAAAAACTAAAGGTTTTATCTTAGTAATTGTATTTCGTTTTAGTTAGTTTTACAGTGGACATTATATTTTTGATTTAGTTTTTGTGTTTTTGAAAACTTTAGTTTCTGTTTTTATTACAGTTCAGGAGGACATTTTTTCACTGCTAGTTTTCATTTTAGTAATAGTTTTAGTGAACTGTGTTAACCCTGTCACTGACACGCTCTTCAGGGGTCTCTCATTAGCCATCTTTCATGGAGACCACTGTCATTGATAAGAACTAGGCATCTGGGTTCATTCTAGTAAACTTGAGACTAAGCGTAAACTTGGTGGGTGTTGGGTTCTAGGTGTTAAATTTTGGGTGTGTGGTCGGGGATGTGCACCCACTGTGCACCAATACTCAAATGACTAGGTTTTTTATAAATTGTAGGGGTTGTGGTTTCTGGGTCTTATTTTGTCAGAAGGAGGAGCAGCATTCTATTTGACAACTTTTGTTTATCTGAGCCAAACCAAACTGTGCAGTATTATAATTAGAGCACTGTAGAGTCTGCTGTAGAGATTTTTTAATACATAAAATATTGAAAATCAAATTTTCCTCAGACCTAAACCTAGCAATGCCTGTGTGCAAGCTCCTAGTGCTGGGCAGTACTGATAAAATTTATTGTACATACAATGCTGTTAAAAGTAGAGAAAACAGAGACCACATGTAATTTCTTTTTGCAGGTAGTGGGAGAAATATGTGAGAATGTGAAATCAAAAGTTTAATAAGGAAGCCATGCTGTATGAAGCATGTCTGAGAGGTACCTTATGCATGAGTAGAAGAATGCAGGTATCCCAGTCACTTGCAGCGCTGCAAGAAAAGAGAGGGATGAGAATGAAAAAAGCTGCAGAAAGACAGAGTGCTGGGAGTTTGGCCAGCTGTGATACAGAATATAAATAGTATGAGAGATGGGTTGAGGCATGAGGAGAGACAGTGCAAGAAAGTGAGAGAGAGAGTTTTGCCATGACCACAAGATGGCCCTGTAATTTTTAAACAAATTAAAAACATATCAGCATAGATCCCTTTTAACCTTCTTACCTCCTTCTTGCTTCTTACCACTTTCTTCCGTCAACTGCTCTCTCTCTCCCTCCCTCCCTCCCTCCCTCCTCTGTTTTTGATTTGATTATTGTTTTGTGGTGCTTTGTTCATTTGTTTATTACAGTCACTTACTAACCTATGTCGCTGTTGATGGCACAGTGCTTTTTTAGTCTGCTCCCATGATATTTTGTCACTACCTGCAGAAAGGCCCTGATTAGATACATTTAAATCAGCACAGAATAAAACTAATCAGTGGCAAAGAAACAGGTCAGATAAACTTTCTATGTAACTGAGTACATGCAGATTTAATGTGTTGTCTTGAGTCTTCTGCTTAGTCCCAAAATGTAAACTACTTGTCAAAGACCACCTTTCATTTATTTAATTAAAAAAACTCCAAAACTGGAGTTCAACAAATTATGAAAAGATACAGAAAGTAAGACTCCTAACAACCATGCAATACCTGATAGACCACGAAAACTGTCACTATCAGGTAAACAGTATTTAAAGCTTTTGTCTTTGAAAGAGAGAAGAAAATCAAGCTCCACTCTTGCTTTAGATCTGAAACAATCCACAGGTGTTTCTGTCCATCCTTCTACTGTGAGAAGACAACTTTACATTATGGGTCTGAAAGGATGTGCAGCTGTTTTTAAGCTGTTACCAAGAGAAAGGAGTCGATACTCTCTAGCCCTGAGTCCATCTTTCTCCACTGTGTACTTTTTATTAGACTGCTCTACCATCCATTTCACCCTCTGCTCTACTCCATTCTATACACATACACATGCAAAGTGACCTGTAGGTCTTGAGTGGGCTTTTCTACCCTCTCTAGACATGCCTGCTTTGCTCAGCCCTGCTACTAGATTCTTGTGTTAATTCGCTGCGTAACTCTCTGAATATTCTCTCAGTTCCACTGCAACTGTACACTTTGTGTCACATTCCCTTTGGGGAGTCATATATATATAAACATAGCTATAAACATGCATATGTCGGTCAACAAAGTTAAATTAAACCTCATGTACATTCACTCACTCAGACAAATGCATGCAATCATGCGTGCACATGAACAGAGGGAGAGATATAAAAAGACACACACACACACACACACACACACACACAGAGTCATTAAAATGCTAGGAGGATGTGCTTCTCGCACGTTTGCTGAAGGCATAGGAAATAGTGGATACATTGCATAGTGCAGCCAAGAGGTAAATGCTGGCTGTGCTTTGGCTGAATGCTGGCTAAATCCTGATTAAATGCTGTCTGAATGCTGGCTCTGTGTGGGATGAGCGCTGACTTAATTTTGGCTAAATGCTGGCTGAGCATGATCTGAGTGCTGGCTTATGCTGGCTCGGCATTGGCTGTGGTCATAGAGATGGCAGCTCTAGATAAGCGTTGCGTGGGAAGATGCAGTGCCGCAGGTTGTTTGTTCTTGTTTTCTTCACTGGTGGACATAGTTGTGAGACTCATGCATGGACCGCACCAAGCACTAATCTAGTAAATTACAGGAAATCAGTAACATGTGGAAGTCGAGCCCACAGACCATGATAGAGTGGTGACCAAGTATCACAAAACACAAACCTTCCCAAATCACCCTCACACAGAGCTCCTCTGTATTTCTTTTGACATGTACTAGCAGACTTCTCAACCCATACTCAATCTTCCTTTCCCAGCTCAAGTTTTGTTTATGACTTACTAGGAAAGACTTCTCCCTTTGTGCTGTTCCCTGTGGAAAAAACAGTACTATTTTTAAAAGCTGCTTAATATCAACAGAGGCTTGATGTTTTTGATGTGGTAAATATGTCATTTTTTATGCTTTCTTAAA